CATCAATTTAAAATTCCGTTAGAAAAGTGGGAAAATTCGCTCGTAACGTCGTTAAAGGCCATCAGAGGCATTCTGAATGGCATGTCCCATTCCAATGCAGTAAAACGGCAATAAACGTTTCTCGTAGTGGCGCATAAAAGCGTGGCTCGAGCTGGATAAAACGCGTTCCCACGTCCGATCGGTCTAACGGCCGGCTTAAGTGATTGCTTCTCTTCATTAGAGGCTGGCTCGTTTCGTTCGAGCTGATCTCCTTCTCTTCGGGGGCGAAACTTGAGGGACAGGTGTGGTAATGGCCCGTATCCGAGCGGTTCCACGTTTCTCTGTTGGAGAAAAGGGGCTGCGGACGAGGTAGTTGCAGTCGATTTAACCCCTGCCTTCCCGCTCCGCCACCCGAGAGACTATTACGCGAATTGATTCGGCATCGGTTCCACCCCGGAGCCGTCCAAGCACCGCGGCACCGTTTAGCTCCTCGTTTCTTCCATTCTCTTCTCCCCTTCCTACTTTTACTCTTGTCTACTCGGTTTTCTAACGCGTACGCTATACTGCGAGTATTTTAAGGAGACGGAGGGTGTTTGAGGGGGTTCGCTCTTTGTTTCTTCTTTAGATATTTATTGGCTATTTGTAGCTGAGTTTTAGGGGTTCTCGGAGTTGCGAAAGTTTTCAGGTAAATTTATATTTTGTTTTTCCTTTGAATGTTCAGATTTCGGGTGTAAGAGTTTTGAAAGTTTAGAGATAAATCACTTTCTGCTCTTTTTCTTCGCACGTGTACATTTGATCGACCTTAGGGGATTTCTTTTTTCATTTGCAAGTAAGGATTTTGCAAATAATTGGAACGTAAAGTCTATTGTTTTGCTCAGATTCGATCGAGAGGAAAATTTAGAGGGAAAATTCTCTGCTGGCATTAAAGCGAAATCTAAATCTAAATCTAAATCTAAATCTAAATCTTCTACGGAAACAGGTAAAGAACGTTCCAACGGATAAAATAAGTAAGGAAGGACGCTATAAATGATACCCAAGAAAGTTGCTATCGTAGCTAGGAAGATACTAGAAATCAATCGTGCAGCGAGGGGAAGAGATGTTAGAGGACCGGAAAATAATTCACGCGGGCACATCGCTACCATGGTACGGCACTGACTGGCGGACCAAGGGGCTGGTTGGCTGCCTCTACTGCACCTTCCACCTCCGCCCCTTAATCTAATCCAAGGATAATCTAAAATTCATGACACACATAACTGCCAGGCGATGATATATCTGGTGGGGGTGTAGAGGCAGCGTCTTTCCTCTTGCATCCCTTGGTCCATTCGCTTCCCACCGAACTCTTCCTGACCCCTTCAGCATCCCTCCTGTTCGACCTCGTCGAGCTACACCAAGCTTTCGCGGCAAGAGCCGAATTTCTCGCAGTCACTGGCATTATTATTTTATGCATCATGGTCAGATACATATTTGCCTTCCGGTAAATCGCCATATCGTGCACGATTGCTATTCGTCGGCCGTGGAATACCACCAATTCTCTCTCTCTCTCTCTCTCTCTCCCTCTCTCCCTCTTTTTCGCGTATTGCAAAGCCTAAGTTTAGTAGCGTCGTTGTTATTAAAATACGACTACGTTTTCCCAAAAAATCCTCGTTTCGTCTGCTATTGCATTACCTTGGATTTAATACACCGTCCACTGACACCCTCGACTGTCTAAGAATTGAAATGCAACATAGCGTCGTATAGAATGTAAGTTATATGGCGAGAGTTCATTGATTCTTCCTAATATCTATAATTTCTCGATCAGAATAGGTAGATTCGATCCGCCGAGATTTACTCAATCGAGGATCGACTGAAATTTCGTTCGAACTCTACTTCTCGCGTAAATCGATCGTATTACCGCGAATAAGGCAAAAGAATAATCGTTTTACTATTCGTCGTCCTCGGTTTATTTACCACGTTTGGACGCGTTCTTTTCCGGTTCCTGTCGAAATAGAATCACGCGATAGAGTTAATCGACGGTGTGTAATTTGAATAATTTATTCGAAGCCCGACTAACCGAATTGTTGCTCATTACGCGTTCATGGCTTGTCGGTTAACCGATTGATTATCCTGCAACGGTGTGCACCGTTCGGAATCGGGTAAACATTCGCATTTAACCGGCTCCGGGGAGGTCGTCGTCGTCGTGGATAATTATTTTTGGTGTCGGTATTCCTGTATTCCAAGTATCGACCGTGAAACTGCAATATTTAATCGCGAATTATTGGTCTGGTCCAATGATTCGTTTACGTCGTTAATTCATTAATCCTCGTGCATACGTTCTATGGGGCGATACAGATTTTACCGTAAGAAATTACACGCGATAACACGGAAAAATGGTGATTGCTATTTTCAGTAGTACGACGTTCAAGTTACGTGCCGTGATTCGCATCGAACGAATAAATGTGCGATCAAATCGGACAGAAGATGCACCATGACTCTAGAGATAACCGTATTACGTAGCGTAAATCGTGATCAACCATAAGGGGCCGCGAAACCGCAACAATCCATTTTCATTCCCCGCGTGATTATTCTACGCTTTCGACTCGTCGACTTTTCGACGAAGGGCAACTGGTAATTGATGATCGTCGCTGGTTTTCGCGGGACATTATATCGCCGTTACCGGTCCGACTGGATGCTACGGTGGTTGTACGTGGTCGTTACGCGTAAAAAGTTGAAATGTTCATATCTTAATTTATAGTTTCGTTAATTCAATCTCAAATATGCGTATAATTACTGGATGTATGGAAGAAGTAGTTACTCGATTTTATGCGTTTAATTAATTAAGTCGAGAGGTGCGAGTTAATTCGTTGCATGTATCGCCGGTATTTGTGATTAATTTCGCATCCACGACAGGTTTCCGGAGAAAAAGAATCGGTGAACAGATTACGAAGTACAATAAGTACGTACACGAGTAGTAATAGCGCGCCACGGTACAATAAGAAGATATTGCGTTCTCCAATCGCTGTTGCTCGCCGTCGAAACGTCGAGTCGCGACCACTCAGCCAATTACTGCAACCGATTCGTTTTTCGATAAATTGCGAATGAACAAAGAAGTACGATCTCATATAGAACAACTACAATGCTGCACGAATTTCCTGCGATTGCGTTTAATCCAAGTTAGTCCATTACGTCATAACTGTTATAACAACGCCTGGTTTTATGTTAATCGGAATAAGAATACCATCACGTAACGGTATAATCCCGTATAGACGCCACTTTCGAGCAATCGTAATAACAGTATTACACCGTAACGATCTCGGTTAAAGTCGAGCCACCGTTCTATTCCTAATCCAGTGTAATCAAACTTGGATATCAATACCATTAACGACGAGATCGATCAAGATCGTATTAAGACCTCGAAAGGGGCATTCCTATACAAATGTGTACAGCCTAAATAGTAGAATCGCGCTGGTTCCTCGGGGGACCAGGAGGGTAGCGACGTTTTTCCGCTGTCAGGGCAGATTTTCAGCCGTATGGTACGGTACCCCTTGGCGGCAGACAAACGACGGCCAATTTACGAGCAGCGGGAAAGAGAAGAGTTCTTTAAACTCGGATTAAAATAAGCGACGAAACGCCTTTTCTTCTCCCTTACCCTCTTTTTCCTCTTATACACCCTTGAAATTCATTTCGTTGCTCGAGTACGAGCTTTATTTTATTCACGATAAGGGAATCGAGGGGTCATTGCCTGGCGTAAATCTCTGTTGGGTGACAATTCGTCTGGTTGAATTGATGACGATCGCGACGGTTGAATCGATCATCCGTGTCCAACGATCCGTTTGCGAGAAGCGATGCTTTCGTACGTTCAATATTTACCGGTACGTTTCCAGTACAAGTTTTTCACTTTACGGTGAATCGATCATTTTTACGCAATCTTTGCCGGTAGTCTCTCTCTCTCTCTCTCTCTTTATGGTAGTTTCATATATCGTTGAAAGAAAGATTTGTTAGATCCGTTAGATACAACTGAAACTCGAAGCTTTTAGCTGGACTGGGCGAAATTATAGTTTGAAAACCGAGTCGTCGAGCAATTCCGGAGTCGTTTTGTTTTTTAATCAGATGCTTCTATCGAGCGAGCGTAGCGTTTCGCAACGGTACGACCGAACGCGCACGGATAGGACAATAACGACGCCCTCGGGAGCGTCCAGAATGAATCCCGGCTAACGCGATTACGCGACGCTGCGTTTCCAACTGATTCGCCCGCTTGATTTACCTGCAAAACACGAACGCTTCCAAAGTTCTCCTATTAAAATACATTAACGAACGGCGAAACAACGCGGCTCGTTGAGTATCTAAAAAAATCTAATATTAAACTTTACAACTTTTTAATGTTTCCAGTATTTAGCAAATCCTCTCTTTAATCTTCTTCTCCGTCGAACGAAAACGATCGTGTTAACCGGTCCATGATAGAATTCTGCCACTAAAATCGTCAATGTGTTCAAAAAGATATTACAGAAGATGCAAAGAGACTAAAAAATGAAAGAAACCTTAAAGAAGTAACGTTCTAACGTACGAGCAGGAGGTAGATGTAATGGGTTGTAATGGCGCCCGGGAGACGAGAGGGGTAACACGATTAGATGGCACAGGACTGGGTGGAACGATTCGGCCGACTTGATTTATCCGCGTACCAAAGCGTTATTGCATTAGCGCCCCGACGACGATACCACTGGCCAGCGTCCCGGGGGCGCTTCGGCATCGCGGCTACCAAAAGTCCTTCTGTCCAACCAGCCGTGAATCATCCTTAAGAATTATGTCTTGGACGGTGGTTCCAGGACGCGCGATTTGTCGTTGGATGGCTCGAGCACGAGCTCGTTACCAACGCTGAGAAAGCAGAGAATTCGCGATTTAGGATGCTGTTTTCGCGTTAGGAGAATCCATTGCACCCGGTTGGTTCGATATGAAATAAGCGGAAGAATTCTTTTGCTTTTTGATTAGGTTTTTGATTAGACTCGTTAATTGGAAAATCGTCGTAGGTCAGGATAATGAGCAATAAATGATCCACGACTCGCACAAGATTTAAGTTTATATATTTTAAAGCTAATAGTATACAGTGTGACAATCATGTATTCAAGAACAATCATGTATCCTCAACACGCCATCGCCGAATTCGTTTTAATCGCCTGGAGACGCTAGACACCTATCGAAATCTCTGAATTTTTCACACCCATCATTCTACAACATCGTTCCATGCATTTTCAGAATTTCGTTGATATTCACTTCGTGGTTCAACGAAGAAAATAGAAATCGAAATACAAAGAATTTATTCGTCTCGGAATGAGAAATTTCGACCGTTCCGACGGATGCAACTTCTCACCGACTCGTTATTTCCAAGCCCAGCTACTACTGACCCTCGACTATTTATATTTATGTATAATACTTTATATTATATGTATAATACACACTTCTCCCGGAAATTGTTCACTTTATACACATCGAGTCTCCGTTTGTACTTCTCGGACACGAACTGATGCAGCTGTCTCGCTGACGAGTATCCTTGCATCACGATTTTGCAGAGCTTCACCAAATCGTCAAAAAATAGCTACGATAGGTGTAATGGAATTAAACGAAACAAAAGAATGAAAGATGATTTACTTGGAAAGAACGTCTCTTCGTTATTGTTAGAAAATTGAATACGTGAAGCGAGTATCTTGATAACACTCGACGACCAAGAAGTCAAGTGCTTGCCAAATACTCTAAACGAATCGATATTCACCTGCACAGTTTCACAACGGTGGTGAGTCGGCTACGATCAACTTTGTTCTTCTAAAATAATTCCACCATTCCAAAAGAAATCTACTTTATCCGATCTCAAACTTTTCCCCTCCAAACCACCCCTGTTACTTCCCACGCCAAAAAGTGAATGGAAGAAAATATTCTGCAAGATCGAAGACGCTTCCTATCGTCGAAATAATCTTCGAATAAACTTCGAAACCCAACGAATCATACGGAGAAACTCTCTGAGCGATACCATACTCACCACCGTGCAAGGAAACAGCGACAATCGCTGTTAGTCGACTTCGAAGTCGGAGTTTTTCGTTTTACGCAGGCCTGTCGAGTCCCAGTGCTTCCTGGTGTCGTCTGGCCTTCAGTCTCAGATCCGCGATGCTGCTATTTTTGGAACGTGCTGCGGCCGCAGCCAACGAAGCCGCCAAACTCAGGGGATGAGGGTGCGGATGACTGGACGTCGGTGGCGGAGGCGGCGGTGGTGGAAGACAGAAAAGACCGCCGGCTGCCGCGTAATGGAGGACAGCTGGGTCGAACGCAGAACCTGCCGCCGTGGTCATGTTGCCACCGGCACCTTGCATTGGGGGATGCAACCTCAAGGCCGGCAGGTACGGCGCCACTCGACACGGTTCCAGGGTGGCTGGCGGACTTCGAGGAGCCAGCACCATTCCACCTGCTACATCAAACCTTTTTGTTACCGCCAAACCTACATATAAGTATATGTAATAATTAGTTTGCAAGTGTCTTTGTGCGTTTATGGGAACTTATATCTACCCATACTATAGTAGGATATAGGATTGTGAGGTTTTCGTTGAAGATCTGTGCGAGGTTTATGAGGAATTTAGAGAAAATTTTTAGGACACTTAGCTGGCTGTTTTGCAAACGATCAGCTATCGGCTTGATCGTATTCTTCATTGTAGCTCACCTTTATGCAATTGACTCTCGTGCTTGCGGCACTTGGCGCGTCGATTCTGAAACCAGACTTGAACCCTCGCCTCGCTTAAACCGAGTCTCTGGCTCAGTTCTTCTCTCATGAACGCGTCAGGATAATGCGTCTCATCGAACAGCCTTTCCAATTCAGCCAATTGTTCCAAAGTGAAATTCGTTCGAGATCTTCTCTGTTTCCCGTTTCCGTTTCCGCTGTTACGGCAGTTCGATCCTAGGAAATATTTCAGAAAATACGTCAGCTTCCAAATTCGCAACACACGATCGATGCAACCGTTCGTTGTACTTTTCGTAATTTTATTCCGTCTTCTTTTATTATTTATATGGATGTAAAAATTGATAGTGGAGCTAGAAAACTTAGGTGAGTCAGATGTTTTACGAGGATTAATTCAAGAACAGCAAAAGCGGTCAGGAGAAGATTCAGAATTAATCTCAGCGAATCGTTCACAGGTCATTTCTTCCGGTCTGGCCGGCATCAACATAAATTCCTTCCCCTTACGAGAATCTTATTCAAATTACACGACGAGAAGAACTTCCGATTAGTCGACATCAGAGAAGCGTCTCCTCGGAGTACGATTTATGTCTCTTTCTTCTTGTACAATCCATATTCTTCTCTGCTTCTTCGAAAAAGTCGAGTCGTTTTCCCCATCAATAAGCAGATTAACATAAGTCGAGACGAATTGCCGCGATTTTGAAATTCGATAAAAATACACGTCTCGATTATTATTCCGTTGCAGTCATAACCGGTTGTTTACCAGGAGACTTAAAGAAACAAGGGAAATCCAAAGTTGCAACCTCGAACGACGACGAAGTGTTTTTGCATTCGCACCCCTTGAAATATGTTTCCAAGTACCGACGGGACCAATAAAAGTCTTCACGTTCCAAAAAGAAGCCCGTAAAACAGGCGCTCAAACCTAATTTAACTCACAAAATAACCGCATCCTCCGCGTCAGCACCTTAATCGACCGAATCGTCTCGAAGAAAGGTCCAACCTTGGACTAATTATCTTCTCCCTGTCAACTGACGCTAATTTCCCCGGTCACCCCGGAGACGATCTTAAAAACTAGCTTCAAGACCCTGGCACCAAAAGAGCCGCAACGAGTTAAAGAGACGGCCGTGGGATAATTAACGGGCGTGCGATCTAATTAATGGCTGCTTAATGCAAAGTAACTACGGAGTAGAACTCCGACGAAGGTGTTGCCGATGGGAGATCCTCAGAAGGAGGTCCGTAGCTAGAACAGAGGCAGAGGAGGCGTTAGAGGGGTGGATTAAGCGTCTCGCGTAAGAGCCCTTGACGAAGGGGACGTGATTTATATAATTTAGCAAAGTGGTGAGCTACGCAGCCTTGTACGGGATCGTTAGTTACCCTTCCACCCCTCTATCCGACTGTTTAGTTTCTCCCTCTTTCACCGCGCCACCTTAATCACTCCCTCTCGGCCTTTCTGCATCTGTCCGTCGACATTTCCACCTCCGTAAAGATGGATCTTGAGCGAGTCGCACGTTTGTACCGATCATTAACGATGTTTGACGAAGATTTTGAAGCTCGTCGGGTCGGTTTCAGCATTCGCAAGTGGATCAGAACGGTTAATTTCAAGTTTTTGCGAATGGTGGAATGTTGCGATCAAGAGAAAAATATCTTCCTTATGTAAAAACTTAAAAAATGGTACAAACCGTAATGTATGTACGTATACGCAGTCTGGAAATCCAGTCTGCTTTTAGTTTCTGAATTGGTCGATCAACGATCTACACAGGACGCTCGTTACCTGTTCATACCTTACGATAGCCACGTAAAGGCACAAAGAAGTAGTAACCATAGATCGCGGATTTGTATGTCTTTACACGTGCAAGTAAACGTAACTGTTATCGATAGAATTCATTAGATAGATTAGTAGGATTATTCAAAGTCAATTACCATCGATTACAGTCAATTTCTCCCTCCCCGGCGGGCAACAGAACGATCCACTCCCTAAAGCAAAACAACGCGCCTCCCTCTCATTAGCCGCGGCAGTTAACTGAAAACAAACACTGATAATATTTGCAAGCTCGCCATTCGTTTTGCCTGATAAATTACAAACACGGAGGCAAAAGCGTAGCGACGAAAGTTTAAAAGCAAAAGCGAGACATTTAAAAAATAGGACATCAGAGGAGAATTCGAAAGACAGAGGATTACGAACGAAAAAATAATAAAAATCGATGGACAAAGAAAATAAAGTGTGGAACCGTGTTCCGATTAAAACGAGGAGGAATTACAAGGACGCAGTATCGCGCTTTAATCAATTAACGCATAGCTACGTAATCCAATCGGAGGCCAGGCAGAACGAAGCCCGCATCCATATGTACAGCGGTTTAAAACCCCTCCTAGTAAAATAACTCGCGTGGTTTCCGGACCCGTTGTCGTTCCCGTCATCCGCCCCTTCATCATCAAACTATCCCCACCAGTTTATACGGTTTTCGTCACCCCCTCTAGCCTGTCTGCGTTTCTAGTTGTCTCCCGTGTTGTTGTGATCGTTTTAACGATATCGAGTCTACGACTCGTTGCTACGAGTTTATTAGTTCTGTGGGCAACAATTTTATGGACGATCTGTTCTTTCCACGAACTTTCCAGTTTACAATTGCATCTTTCCGCGAGAATGACGAGATTCTAAAAGCGTTACGCCGCTTCGTGATAGTTTGGATATGACTCGATGATGGTCTAGAATTGATAGGTATAGTAATAACAATACCTTGCAAAAGTATAGAAGCTGAGAAAGTTTTCCGTGTACGAATAACGTGAGTCTAGAAATGGTAACAAGCGAATCGTAGGTGCGAATTGGTTGTTCGAACAAAGCCAATATCGTATTGCCGTAATCGGGAAGACAATGCTAGAAGGATGAAACGAGAGAGAAACTGGAGAAACAGAAGAAAAAGGGAGGGTGGCTAGTAGCGAAACCCTCCTGGAAAACCCGAAGCAATCACACTCGGACACGAGAGGTCGCTAATTCGATTACTAAGAGCGCTGCCCTCTTGGCCTGATCCAGTCAAACCACCCTCGACTCCCTTCGTGCACCAGCTCGCCGATCGTGTCCGGGTCCCTGTATTTTTTCACCCTCGCGAAACGAGTCGGGATATCGCAGCCATTAGGCGTATAAAAGCGTCGGGACAATCCTGGTTAACCCCCTCGCTAGTCGCGTCCACGTTGTAACTGCATATGGCACGCAGCCGTGAAACTTTCCGTGAATCGTTTGGCAAGAAAGTAATTTGGCAAGAAATAGTCGAAGATTTGTGTTTTTTGTTTTGTCTCGGATAAAGAGGTTTCGCAGGAAGATTCTTCTTTTCATAAAAAGAGGTGGAATATTGGAGAGATGTTAACGTTCAAGAAATTAACATTTTATTTTTTATTTTTATGGATGGAAGAAGCGATTGTTTTATGTAGACAAATTTAGGGAGGAATTGGTTTCAAATTATATTAAACAGATTACTCGTTATAAAAGTTTCTATGGGAGGAGAGTATTAAGAGATAGTTCGATAAAGACAAGATCAACAATCGGGCAAGATTAACAAGACTACCAATATTTATATAATGTAAATTCATATTCTCATGGTTGGAACTGAAGAAATGAAACTTAAATTGAGATTCGTCCACCCAGTCCACAGTCCGTGGATAATTATCTCGATGATTTCTAGCATGACATAACACGTAGGTAATTCTAGACTGCGCAAATCATCGATCGAAGTGTCATTTATATTTCACGACCAGCTAAAACCTGCTCGATGAAGATTCACCGGGGTGTAACCAAGGGTTGTACTGTAAATATCGGGGAGAATTCCAGTAACGTTCTAACAACCATAGCCATGCTTCAAAAACTTACGAGCTTAGGGGCCGTAAACATCGATGCACGACCTCTGACCAGGGGTCAAGCGGAAACGGCGGTAGGATCATCGGCGATGGCCATTTGCAGAAGAAACGCGTGCGCGAGGACACGGGTCAGGTCGACGGCAAACGAGGCTAAGTGGCTGGCCGAGAAACGTAGTGATCTACTACGACACAGACCACTTTCTTTCAGTGATATTTGTTATGTCATGCAGCCCGTCGTTCCTCGTCGTAAGTCGTGAGATATCGTTTCCATTCTCCTGTCTGCTATGGACGTCGCACGCCACGAGAAATCGCGTCTACTGCAATTGGATGTGCAAGGAAAATTAAATTCTGGTTTCTATGAATTTCGAAATGATAGTCTGGTGATTTGAACTTGGAACGGAGATTTTTCTCATCTATTCGCAAAGTCTTTTTTCGAAAATAAGAGAACGAAGTTCCTGTATATCGGTACATCGAGGCATGATTTTCACAAGTGGCTGCCGTGATTAGCTCGTTCACTTATTTCTATTTATCAGGGTGATTGAATAAATTCTGTTCTCCGCTGTTATCAACTTTAGCGCTTTTATACATCCTATTATCCTAATCTTCCCGAGATTACAATATAACTCCGAATACATATCCATAAAATCCGATAGAATTGAGATTTCCAATTGAAATTCTGTTTCCAAATCAGAACCCACACTCCGTTGGCTCGTTTTAACTCGAGTTTCACGACACCTTCGAAATTTTCATCGCTCGAATCTGAACTACAAAACACGAAAGATAAGAGCCTTCAACCCGCTACTGCAGCTTTTTCTAGAAACCAAAGAGTCGAACGAGTTTTCCTCCGATCCTTTGCCGCTTCTTCAACTCGCGGTTATTTATGGTTTTACTTGGGCGCGTCTGATGGCTGCCGGCCGGGCAGATTGCTTTTTGATTTGCGCTTAATCGGGAAAAGTTATGGGCCCCGGAGAGATACAGGCGGAAAAGAGCAGCGAAAAGAGAAAGAGAGAGAGAGAATACGGACTTCTGCTCTCCTCCCTTTTCTCCACCCTCTGCGAAGCAAAAGAGCCGCGTGTTAGGGGGCGTACACAACTAACGCGGCGGGCCGCATATTAAACCATAAATTCATGCGAGCTCCGGCCGCAATAGACGCCGAGTTATCGCGGCGAGGAATCCGCGTTGGCGTTACTTGAACGCGTCAGTTTTTAAACGTGATTTTCATTCGCTATAGCCGACCGTGCCCCGTCCTCTTTCGATCCAATTTAATCCGCGCGTATGTAACGTCCAGCTTGTCGATTGCATTTTTTATCCAACCGACCATCCTTCTCCTACTGTTGCCCGCTGTGACCGCTGTCACCGATCGTTTGACGTGCTGTAAATTACGAGACTCCAAGATTTATAACGCGGAAGTGAATTTTGGACTTTTTCTGAGGGACTTTGGAGCGTTTCTTGGCAGACGCATGTCTCTTGGATACTTTCGAACACGACGATTCTGGCTATGTTAGAATTTGTCGTAGAGGTTGAAGCAAAATTTGTCGAGATCTTGTTACAAGACGCGATAAAAAGTACAGTAGCTGGTTGCTTGAATCGAAATAAGCACAAGGACTAGATAAGCAGTGTTAACCTTTTAAGAGAAACGTCAACTGTTCTCCGCATCCTCGCAGAATACTCTGCAAGATCAATTCGACGTGTACGTTCGATGTTATCAAGTTTATCCCAAATCTCAGCCCCAAATTGAACCGTATCGATGATCGTCGTAACTCAAACGAAGAAAATTAAAATAATGTTACTGAATTGATCTTTATACGACTATTTTAAAATTTGCTCTCTTCGTAGCGAAAGAATGCAATCAAGTGAAATTAGAGTATCATAGAGACGTTTAAAGAAAATTCTTGGAAAGGGAATTGATTTCAATGGAAAGACGTGACAAAAGAGAGTGGCGAGGAGGGAGGAGAAGAAAAAGTGCAAGTGGTGGACGGGGAACGGCTGTTATTGAAGTCGACTTGGAATGTGGGTAGAATTGGAGGTCGGTGATCGTTACGTTGTGAACGGTCAGCTATTCCCAATCACTTCTGAGCTTTATTGGACGACGTGCTGAATTATAAACGAAGATCGAACCCTCCGACGATACGTGTCGGGCCACGGAATTCGTCCAGAGGTTCCTGACCTTCTTACTATCGAAACGAGAACGAATTAAGAAACGTCCTTTGGAATCCTTCAAAACACCAGTCGTACCATGGGAGGTACTAAAATATCTTTGTACAGCTTGCAAGATTATACACAAATAATAATATAACGAGACAATCTTCTTCTTCTTCTTCTTCTTCTTCTAGCAACGAGAAAAACGAATTAAATACTCCACAGAATCGCCGTAAATAAATCTTGAGGAATTTAAAGCTTAAGACCAATGATTGTTTCATATTTCCTTGAAACTCGAGGCACGAAAAACAAATGACGTGGCAGAATTAATTTCTATGTCAATGTCAACACTTTTTAGCACGACACGAATAAAATGAATTACTAAAAAATACGGGAAGCTAGTTAAAAGGCTATATAATGTTATTTATATTCAACGTTACCTTTCGTACTCTCTTCCTGTCCCTGCATCAAAGACCTCGAAACCTGCGACTGTAGCTTCAAATCCGACGATTTCGTTTCGTTAGAAGCTTGACTTTTCAATTCGACACAATTTTCGGGGCTAGCTGATCGATCTCTCGAAATCGGTGGTGGCGACGGACTGCATCCTAGCAATTTTCTTACGGAGAGCTTTAATTCCGGCGTCTTTAGAGGCGGAAGGCTGTCCACGGTGTTAACCACGTCCTTCGCCTCCTTGCTCTTGGTCGTAACGGAGAGATCTTCCGGTTGGAGGCGGCCTTCCGGCGACGGCGGCTCATCCACGCTGCTCGCCTCGACGCTCGATGGATCTTGAGCGGATTCGCTCGTCCCTGCACCGACATCTGGAGAACCATTGCCAGAAATCAGTGTCTGAACACCTCGTTACGTTCTTCTTCAGACAAATATCGTTAATCAGTAGAATTATACAAATTCATATCCTCGTAGTCGTAATTAAAAGAGTAAGAACTAGACAGAAATTCGTTTCATCTACCGAATGTTAGGACGAATTAAGATTTTGACTAGGGAAGTGAAGAAGAAAAGGAAGAAGAGATATCAGCGATGGGAAATTTTCGTTTGCGTGTTTAGATTTGACGAGACAAGACTGGTTAATCTTAACGTAATGTTAGAAGCAAATATTACGAACGATTAAGTAATATAAGACAGCCATAAGCAGACGCAAGAGATTGTTATTCGAGAATATTGAAAGGATTCTTGGAAATTCCTGATGTAGATTTCAAGTGTAAAATTTATATTTCCCAGAGTCTGCTTTCAAATTGAGGATTCAAGATTCACCGTGGGAACAGTTTGTTTGACATCGTCTTTGAGGAATGAAGCGCACGTTCGCGATATTCTTGGAAACAAACAGTGGGAAGCGAATCGTGCACGAGGATCAATTGATTATCAATTCACTGAATAGGAAAAAGAGATCTGTTGAAACTTTGTGCGATGGTAGAAAGGTACGCAGAATATTTCTTTGACTTTTTCTCTCTGTTCAAGAAACTTCGCTGTTCAAGGGAAAGGAAGATTTTACCATCATCTATTTGCATTCTTAACCCTTTGTTTAATTCCTTAACGTTGTTTAACACCTAAACGTCTATTTCATTCGTTCCCTCGTCAAACTAAAATTGAAATCACGAAGTTTGGCTACGTGTAAACTTTCCGCACAATGATCGTCATCGGAGAGTCAAGATTTCTTAAGAAATAAATATATACCATACGACTTGGTAACTTCATCAAATCAAAATCTCGTCAAAAAAATAACCGTTACATCAACCTCTACAAAACGAATAAAACTGCACAAACCACCTACTTCCATTGACCAATCTCCACATTCCCATAACTACAACCTCTCGCCTTTTCCATCACCACGGACAACCATATCTAACTTCACAACTATGCGGCCACATGAAAGTCAACCACGATCGAACCACGTGACAACCATCTCAAACCGATCCACCAAGAAAATACACGTAAACCAGCAGACGAGGTTCCAGGGATGTAAAAGTAAACCTCCAAAGAATAAGGAAGACGTACTGCCATCGTTCTCCGCAGAATCGCCGAGCAAATGCGCGACACTGAGGGTGATCCTCGCGGACGGAGGTCGTTCGGTGGTTGTTCTGCATGGCGCGTGTTCGCCAGCCGCGTTGTCGAAGCTCTTGGAAACGAACTGGGCGAGCTGCTCCATCCTCGCGGAGAAGACTCGCGCGACGACGCGGCTCTCGCGTCGACCTCGTCGCCGAGGACGAGAGCACCGAAGGGGGTGCACGAAGGTGGCTGGTCGGTGGTAGCTGACGGTCGGCGTCGCGACGCCACGCGTCCCCCAGGACGCCATTCGGACGCCGGCCAATCGAGCGGCTCGTAGGCGTTTCCGCTACGCCCTCTTGCCTTCCTGTTCCTCTCCGCATCCCTGTCGACCACCATCGACCTTCGACACCCTTCTCCTCTCACCCTTCGATCGTTCGCCCCCTCTACCACCGGCTACTACCCGTAAACCGAGGCTCATTAGCATTTGCGCCCGCTTTTCCACCCGCGAAGCGCAAACTACCACCTACCGATGGCCGAGCTGCCTACGTTGGCCAGCGTTTGGCTATCCCACGTCTTTCGCTCTGTTCCTCTCTCCGTTGCTCTAGATGGCTGGTAGTGTGTGTAGCTCGACGACCACCACGTTTACGAGCTCCTCGTTCGCAACCACCCACCCTCGGTGACGTCGGGACAATTCCTCCTCCCTGGAGGACACGCTTCTCGTCCCCGTGGATGCTAGTTTTAGGTGAAAACGATGCACGCTCACGATTCCCGTCGATGACGTCTATGCCGTGATAGCCTACGACCGCTCTGAAGGATGACGATCAGTTTAAAATGATTTACTCTTGATAGATTTGTCGAGATACGTCTTTCAACGAGGAACAGGGATGAGTTTGGAAAGTTTTTCGAAAAACGCCAGCAGATTGGATTAAAGGGGGAGAATTTAAGCAACCTCTAATCGTCAATGACTAGGTTTAAAGGGTAAGCTTGGAATATATTAATTAATCGAAAAGTAGGGGGAGCGAATAAACACTGGTTTAAAGGATAGAAATTTAAGTATATAAGTAACGATGGAATCGTGTCAGGAAGGTTGATCTCTTTATTTCTTTTTTATCTCCAGCGCTCTACGACGTTCTATACACCCAAAGTGTCGAATCTTTTCGACCTTCGAAGGTAAAAGGTCCACAGAACAAAATTGAAATTCAGGTAGCGATCTTAAATCTTAGGTAAAAGATGGAGAACTCGTGTGTGGTACTTTGAAGAGTAGTCGAAAATATTTGCGTGGCAACGTTTTACATCGAAATGGACGTGTAACGGCCCTTTTGGCAGGCCAGCCGCGTTCCAAGCGAATTGCGAGGCCGGGACGCGTCGTGTCTCGTGTTTGCCGCTACCAAACTCGGCAATATTTAAATGGGATTGCGTTCGGGAATGTAATTGCTTGGACAAATACGGCCCGTGAAACGTTGGGACGGATATGGACAGAGAGGAACGAGCTGACAGATGGGAGATCCAACGGGGATGGAAGAAATCTGACCTGATTGCCAGGAGTAAAACGTAGAAGAAAAGAAAATGGTGGTAACAATGAAATAGTGGAGCATAATGTATCTGAGTATCATTGATAAAGAGAATCGTCGTAAGTGTGAAGGTTTCAGGATACGGCAGATTCTTCGCGGTTGATACACAAATGAAAATTACTCCTAGAATCTTTTCCAAAATCAAATGCAGCAGAGAGTTACTTCCAAAGTAGTTCCAGATTAAAATATATATAATTATTACCAACTAGAGTCCAACTCTCAGTCTCTTCTTATACGTCTATTCGATCATCATCGATCAACCACCACAAAAAAGAACACATAGCGGCGATTCGCCGACCAATCCAGAGACACATATGTGTCATCGAGCCGGTGACATATCATAAAAGGCAGCAAATGCAGGTGAATGGATCCGAAAGACGGAAAAAGAAGCCGCGAGTCGGACAACGGAGATGGAAGCAGACAGGAAGAGGAGACTTGTAGCGACATTGAATGACGCTTGCGTACGAGAGGATGAAAGAGACCGACCAACATCGGTATAGAGGAACAGAGAGAGGCGAGAAACGAAACGAGGGGAGAATTAACACGCATGCAAGAAAGATAACAAGAGGCTGGTAGAGCAAAGAGAAGGGAGAAGCCAGGCTACAGAGAAACGTTGGAGAGGGGAACGGTCTATAACGCAGGCAGACGGAGCCAATCAGGGCGCAATGCGATTACCTTAACGAGAAATCCGATTACTTATTCATTCGCCTAACTCGAAATCAGTTTAACTAATCGTTTAATTCGGTAGCTACCCCCCTACGAGCGAGCGTTTTCGAGACAGACACGGGCCGAATTCTCTCTGTGGATGTTCGTTGGGTGTGGTGGCCATGGGATGGATGGATCTCTCCATCCAGCCTTCTCTGGCTGGCTAAATAGAGCCGCACACGCGCAACCACCGTCGTTTCTACACGTGCTGTATTACCCTTAGCCCAGAGGGTGAGAGAAGGAGGGATACAGGCGGTGGGGAAACAGGCCAGGAGGAGAGAGGCCTCATTCAATTCAATTACGTAATGAATTGTCGTGTCTTGAGTAAACACCCTTCCTCACCGCGACTCGCCGCCGGAAAATCGCCGGTTGGGGATATGTTCTCCTCGCGCGGAGGGGATGTCGTGGTGGCTGCGCGCACCATCGTCTTTACTGCATCGTTCAGGTATGGGGATGATGTTAGGGCGAGGAATTAGCGAAGCGATGAAGCAGTTTCAGATAATATCGCGTGAAGAGTTGAATCAGTGTTTTTGTCCTTGTTTGCACTGGTTTATCCTTAATCGTCGACTAATCGACAGCTTGTTTTACTATTCATGGTGTAATAATAATTGTCTTTCTATCGAACCTTCGTATCGTGAATTATTTCATTCATTTTCTATTTACTCTGTCTCTACGCGATAACGTAGCAAGGTATATTTTTATTTTACTTTTGATCAAAGAATGAGAATTTTTCAAAGTTAAATGTCAATCGAGATATAAATCGATCGGAATCGATTCTGAACATTTTTTTCGTTTTAATATTAGAATACGCGATTGATATTTAGTTTTACGAAAACAAACTTGACTTGACTTGCGCGTGATTCATTTATAAGACATACTGTACGAAACCAGAGATTCGGTTGTGCCGAATCAATCTGCGGCTTGCAAACGCTTCGAAATCTTCCGTTGCGTCTCCGCCAAGCTTCCAATTTCACCTCTGTTTGGCTTGTTTCAACGTATACTCACTTCTTGGTCTTCATTTGCTTCTTCTCTATCCTTGGTCGTTTTCCATCGCGGTACATCGACACGTGGATGCTCGCGATATCGACGTTTCCGGTGCTACTGATCTCGTTTGCATAGGCAGTATCAGTAATTCCGCTGTTCTCTCAGAATTAACAGGACCCGTTCCACGGGGTTACTCACGGGGTTTGCATAGGTAACCGGTAACGGTCGACGATCAAAGGAAATCGAATCGGTATTAGCGGGAATTCGAGTAAATCGTTCGTTTCCTACATTCGATTATGTCCTAAAATTTATCATTTTTTTATCATTAAAGATCGTATAAAAGCTTGCTTATCATTTCGTTACAGCGAACCTTTGCCATGGACTCGAATCTTCGGACAAATTTCAATCGAATGACAGAAATATCGATCGATAGATTTTATATTCGTCTTAAAGAAATTTTAACAACACGTGCCCAATGTCATCGATATTTCTTTGTTTCATTCACGTTCTGGAGGACTAAATTTCCGATGTAACGCACACACGGACGAAAGGACGATTTCCGTCCACAAAAAAAAGTCATTTTCGCCATGGCATCCTTCCGGTCCAAGTTCCAAATTCCCAGTGTAGTGTCGTTAAAGGTATCATTTTCAATTAATAACAGAGAAAATACGAAAAAGAGAATTCATAGGTTATACCACAACCTAACACAGCTTTTCTTAGCTTAGCTTAGTTAGCTGAGCTTAGTTTCTAACGAAATGAATCAACAAGGTTGCATGCATAAACGAATTACTATTCCCAGGATAGCGGATATCAGAGACCATTGTTGAATGGTCCTTCGATAATACAATCTGTGCTAAAGGAGAACATCAGAGCGTTTTGGTTTCGAAAATCGAAGGATCAACCGGTCGAACCCGCCGTAGGCAACTGTGCGCAACCTTTGCCACCTCGTATGGATCTCGTTTGCAAGGGTTGTCCTTCAAAGTGTCTCGAATTTGAGAAACAGAAAAAAAAATCGAAGAGACAATTTTTTGGTTCTAAGAAACAATCAGAAAAGCCAAGCAATTGTAAGAAAGAGGAGAAACCGGTAGAAAAGAAATTGATCTGGTGGGAGACGATATTCGGTCCAAGCCCTAAGAGACTCTGGCCTGATCCATGTACTTGTAGACTGGCCCACAGAGAGAGAAAAAAGACGAGGGCGCGCGATCCAAGATTGCGCGATCCAAGATATCGACAGACTGCAGGAGATGTTCTTTTGTATACAGAGCCGGTAAGACGATGCTCGGTATCTTCTTGCTTCGAACCACAACCAAAATCTCCACCAGGATACAAGATACCCAAAGCGGCGGTTTTCAAAATCATGGAAGATGTTTCCTATACGGTGAGCAATAATTTTGTTTCTTTTTTTTGGAAGTAGGTTTTTAATAGTCAGTTAATAGTCGATAATTTAGAAAAATTAATTGCGCGCAATACTTGAAAGCAGGACTTTCATTTTGGTTTATATTCTGTGTCTTGCGTGATAACAATTATCCGTACGAATGTGAATTAAGGTACCCTCGCATGATCAATAAAATTAAGTTGTTAATATTAAAACATATGAAAGTTTGAAAAACCATAAATGATAATAGTTTCATATATAAAATTCTTTCGTAATACGACTTTACATTAAGAAATAAATTTAATGGAACAATTTGTTAATTTCTAGATGCCGGGTAATCGCATGGCCCTTGATATGCAAATGTATGAAGTTGACAAAGATGTACGATTGAAACCGTATAGTCTTCCGTACGAAGAATTAAGACCTCCGGAAAGACAAAGAAGACCATTCAGTTGTCAATTAGGAATTCAATCGAAAGACGTTCTTCTACCGATAAATAGAGACTTGAATTATTATGGAGGTCTTCGACAACAATCGGTCGAAGAAGCTAAACTACCGAAGAACCTCAAATCTACCCAAACAAGTCAGAAGAAATTGCCTGATACTGGAGCCAATTTAGATCAAATGTTCCAAAAGCGAAGTAGAATAGAGCAGCTTAAAATGTATATCAGACAGAAAGACATGTCTTATTATCCGCCGTTTTCTTCCTGATCGACAATGTTGAATCCATTTTGCATGACAAAGAATCTATTAACTGAATAAAATGCTGAATTTTCGTGTAATGTATATTTAAATCGTCCGTGTGTGCAAAAGAAGTAATCTGTAATGTTGTTCACTTAAGCACATCATCGAGGAATAAAGAAAACGTAAACACGATCTGAATTTGTTATAAGAAAATAATATTCGCAGTCTGGAAAAACGTAATTTCCAAGATAAATTAAGATTCGTGAAATATATACATATAAATGTTACAAGTTACAATGCACATTGTAAGGTGTTCTGTTGGAGTTGTTCAAAAATTGCGCGAAGCTATAAAGCGATACAGTGCCATCTACTTTGGTGAATTGCAGTCGATTCTGAATAGAATAAGCCGTCTATGAGCTACAATATTCCCTTCGATGGCGGCGTTGTTGCTGTGTGTGGACCCCTGTAGAGCTGGCTACGGGGCAGTCAAATGTCTCGTAAAGGAACTCCCTCCGCTTGCAAGTCAAAACAAATCCCGCGAATCTTTCGTAATCGACGAGGTTTGTGTTCGGTTCGCAGTTGGCCGCAAGGAGAGGTCGGGATTGTGGGTAGTTCGATAGGTTACAATCAATTAATCCTCCTGCCTGGTTCGCCGGATGGGGACAAAAGGGAGGAAACAAATAAAAAAGAAAAACAGAAAGCTAAGAACAACGACGACACTGTACAGTATCACGACAGAGTGTGGATCGAGGGTAACCAAGTGACAAACAATAGTGTTATAGACGAATCGAATGTTGACGTTGGGATCGGTAAAACCGCCGATGTCGAGACTGTAGCCGACATTGAGAAATGGTTAAAAACGCGGTCGGAATCCGTGTCGAGCATGGATCTCGACGCGATCAAGTCCGGGGTCGAGGAGGGCGTCGACCGGTACCTGGGCGAAGAACTGCAGCACGCTTTTCTGGGAAAGGACCCTGACGGATTGTCGATCGACATCGATCTCTCCGATAAGAAACTCAATTTAGGTTATGATCCATTGCTTCAGGAGCTTCAAAATGAGAAGCTGCTCGACGAAAAGGATAGCTTTATATTACCAGAATTTCAGCTGGATCATTTGGATCCACTGGCGTTGTCTCCGGATGACATGATGGTCGCCGGTGAAATTTTACCGTCGACCAGTGCTCAACCTACTTTAAGTGTCCCTAATAGGGACGTCGAAGGAATGTGTACAGAGACTGAACAATCTTCCCTGATGAAGAAAGCTATGATACCAGATAATCAGGAATTGCAGAACAAGTCTACGCAAGTTGTGGTAGATGATTTGCGTTGCATAAATAGCACGAGCAAAGAAATCGAGCTGCAAAAGGACAATGACTTGTGCAATAATCCTACGAATCTCTATGTGCAGGATCTCAATTCCGAAAATACTATACAAGAGTTGCAAGGTACAAAGCTAGATGAAGGTGATTCTGAAAATACTATAATTGAACAATTGAAAACGAAAGCTAAGGTAAAATTAGAACCACGTATTATTAAGAAACGTAAGAAAATACCAGAAATGATAGAAAAGAGTTATGATAATGAGATTAGAATATCTGGAGAAGATATTGTGGATACTGAAGATGGTGTGATGGCTGTTGTAGCTATATCAACGGATAAAATTTCAAATATGACTCAAATTGTGATAAATACCGGTACAGAGGAACAGATATATCAAGGAAAAACTTCTGAACTTATAGAAGCTACAGGAAATTTTCCAAAATTACCAAAAATAGAAACTTCAACTGTATGGAATGGAACAGTGGAACATAGTACAGAAAATCCCAGTAATCAACACGAAATGGTAATATCTAATGCTTTAGAAGAATTGGGTATTTCAGATGATAACCTACAACCAATATCTGTTAATGAGCATGGCAAAATATGGCTTTGTCCACGTGACGATTGCAATAGACAATTTAGTAAACTTTATGCTCTAAAAGGTCATTTACTAGCGCACTATGGTGTGAGACCTTTCAAGGTATGTATTATTATGTCATATATAATTATCATAATATATATTATATATATAATAGAATTATATATTATTTATAATTATATACATTCTTTGTTTCTGAATTTCCTTTGACCTTTTCAATTAGAATTGTATTTTATTTATTCACTTATATCTTTATTTTCAGTGTGATTTCGAAGGATGTGCCTGGGCATTTTATTCAGAGTTTAAACTCAAAAGACATAAAGAAACTCATTTGAAACGTAAAGACTATGTTTGTGAGGTAGAAGGTTGTAATCGCCGATTTACTACGATTTATAATTTATGGAGTCACGCGAAATTGCATACTCGCCCAAATAGAATAGTATGCCAAGTGCCAGACTGCCAAGAAAAGTTTCAGACAAAGAGAGCACTGGAACTGCATATGAAGAGTCATGATCAAAGTCATGCTCCATATGTTTGTAAACACGAAGGATGTGGCAAAAGATATTATAGTAGTAATGCTTTGACGTCGCATCAAAGATGCCATAGTTATAAGGAAGTAGATGTAAAATGCTCGTGGCCAGGTTGTGGTAAAGTATTTGATAAGCCTTGTAGGCTGAAAGCACACATACGTTCGCATACTGGCTGCAAGCCTTACCTTTGTACGTTTCAAGGTTGCCAGTGGGCATTTTCTTCCTCTAGCAAATTAAAGAGACATCAAAAGAAACACACCAATGAACGAAAATTCGTGTGCGACATACCTTCCTGTGGAAAAGCATTTATGAGATCAGAGCATCTCAAGGAACATAGATTAACTCATAAAGAAGGAAGGTACTTTCAATGTTTTATATGTAATGCAAAATTTTCTGCAAAAAGTAGTTTGTACGTTCATATAAAGAAGCATCAAGTTAAGGAAGAGGTAAAGATGAACTCACACAATAACGTCAATAGTCGAAGCAAGAAGGTACCATCCATAATAAAATCGAAAAGAAAGTCGATAGATCTGAATGTAAACGTAGCATGCCTAAATACATCTACAATAACAGAAAAATCTGAACGCAATGATACAGTAACTCAAAATAACAATGAAAGTCAAACTAAGGACGATACAGTGCCTCCACGAGATCAATCTAAGACTTTATACCATTGCCCAGTTGAAACTTGTACACGTTCATATACTACGAAAGCTACGCTAAGAGCACACATGTTAAAAGTACACGGTACTCCTGTTGATGAGTGTGGTAAAACAGCTAATAAAATACCTGGGGATTCTGTTTGTAACATGGATTACATTTTATATACTGGTCCTTCAATATCAGAGTCTACAGAGCAAATGATAATGGTAGCACCTTGCGATGCGGTTATTCTCAGTACTTCTTCGGAAACGGATCGCTCTCTTCCTGAACCAGAACCGCCGCCTCTTAATAATGTACTGAAAACATCGGAACCTTCTTCAAACGCTGCTACACATAAACCATTATCTAATCAACACGTGAGAAAGGATCAGGGCTCCGCACGGACTGATCTGACATTTTCCGATGTGTGGAAATTAAAGGCGAATGGTGCTGTGTTGGATTCAGTTGCCGGAGCATCCGATGTTGTGTTAGGTACAAGTGAATTAGAAGAGGGTCTTTTGCTCACAGAGGAATTGCCTTCAATGTATTATCAAGACGATGTAGTAGGAACAGAGTATCAGGTACTGTTACTGGATTCGGTACCATCTGAAAATACTATAAATCTACGAGGACTCGAATAATACATGTAATGTACTTCGGAAATGGGTGAAAAAACTGATCATTGTTATTTTCTAATATAGGATAAGTTTTAATATGGTCTGTGATCAAAGGCTAGTATGAGCCCCATTCATTTATACTACAGTCCATAATTGCTTCAAATCGTTATTTTATTAATAAATTATTGCTATTTTTCCAAAAAGTTTATTCATTGTTCTTCTATTGTATATAAAATTCCTAAAACCTTGTGTATATAAAAGCCAATGTATAATAAGATTTGTTTACTAGTGTTAAGGAACTGAATACACATTTTGTAAAATGTGAGTAGTTTACATGTTGTACACTTCATACATTGAGGATTTTTACTAATTGTATAACAATTCAATAATTTCAGCATTTAATAAACCAAGATATACCGAAATATCAATAAAAGCAGAAAATTGGAATGTTTTTATACAATTGGTATACAATACAATAATTAAAAAATAATTGGACAAAATATAAGCTGCACGAAATTAGATATGTACTTTAATTCCTATAAACGCATTAAGTGCATGTATTAAAAATATCCTTAATGCATTATTTTTATTTTATTAAATATACATAATATATTTTCATAGTGCTAAAACTAGTAGTTTAACTAACAAAATTATTGGCCGCAGTATATTTGACTTTATTTCCTAAATTGATTTTCTATTAATTTCAAATTTTGCTTTTGTAACAGCTTTAATCTTTGTAATATATGATATTTATTAAAGAAATAATTTGAAAAATACTGTTTAGTAACGTTGCGATTATAGACATGATAATCGTGCACGTACACATGCGTATGTTTTTATGTATCACAATTCTGTTAATCAATTTATTGTCAATGTGATATAAACTTCATTGAATGAGGATGAAAGAAAGTTCTCTCTTCCTCCACATAGGCGCTAGTCGTAATTATTGATAGCTAAAAATAGAAAATTAACTTGTCTAAAGGTAGGTATATCAATGCTTTAAACTATAGTTTTGAATGGTACAGAGTTTCTAAAGATATTAAGACGAAATACAAATACATAATACTTCATTTTAGTGAAAAAATGTTGCCTATTATCGCTAATTTTCAGACAATGTCGGCATGTTTCTCTACACTAGACATGTGTGTTTCCGCATACGGTCTTCCTAATTTCTTATCGATCTTCAGATACAATCGATCCTTCACTTTCTCTAGGAAACACATTAAGGAATGCAATATGGTTATAAATATACCTTCGCCTACGCATATCAATGAAGCTTGAACAGGTTTTTTCCAATCGAGGATTTTATAAATATAATGATAACCATTCTTGTCTACTCCTCCAGCAAAATAATATATTAGTGAAAACATGGTGTATAAAAACACTATGATTAAACACCACCAGAAGTTCCTTAACCTAAACGGAATGCTTGTAATACAAAAATCAATTATCATTAAAATACTGTTACATATGTGTAGCATAATGTTTAAAGGGTCCAAATAGTGAATCCTGGGATCGAATATGCTGCACCAATAGGTAATCGTAACTCCAAACGCGA